GAAAGTGTATGTGAACTGCTGTAAAGAAAGTGTATTTGCTCTGTAAATTTTCACCCCAATCACAATAATTAAAAAAAAGAAAGAAAATACTGAGCACGGTTATTTAGAATATGTATAAAAACAGCATGACTGGTAAATAATATATGCTTAAGACATGGCAGTTATTATTCTGCCACCAACTTTTTAATTATGTCACTGTCCTCTCCACAAATTTCCAGTGGCTCTGAATTGCATACAGAATAAATATTTCTTAATGTGCCACCCAAGTCTTCTCTCCTCTGAACACAACAATGCTCTTTATCTATCCCTCACCTGTTAACTGATATATGTCAATCAACAAACTTTTACCAAATGCATTCTATGAGACAATGGGGACTACAGAAATATAAATAGATTCCTGTCCACAAAACATTTATACACAATTAAAAGAAAAGGAAACCACATACAAAATATCTTGTACAACAAGATTATTTTGCAGTTACCAAACTCTTCATGAAAGCTACTCTCTACAATTAAATTTTTTAAATTTCTGAGTAGGGGGAGTCACTCACACTGCTTCTCAATATGCCAAAGGTCACCCAGTATACCCTGGCCAGGGAAGATAATAAATACTTGACTGGATTCTATTTTTTGCAACTGTCAGAGCTATAAGCAAATTGTGAAAACTAACTACAGTCTGTAATAGTGTTCTGTAAGTTTCTAATAATAAACAATATAATACAGGATATTACAATAAACATAGGTTTTCTCACCTGTTCAAGTGCTCTAGGAAGGTCATTCACCCAGTGCAAACTAAAATATAAAAACACATTCATGGTTTACTTTAATTAGTATAATGATAAAACTAAAAAGGTGTTAGCTTGAAGTCTGAAACAACGTATCAAAATTCACTGATTACTCTCAGATGTTTAAAAATAAGAAATTATCCTAGACAAAAATCTTTCTTATGTCCATGGTAGAAGACTCCTCCATATCAGTTTACCACTTTCCTTAAGTAAAAATCTGATATGATTATCTACCTAGTTATTGTTTATCATGGGATAAAGTAAGTCATTTCTACTCGAGCCTCTAATCTAAGCAGTCCTTTTCTAAGTTTTTATTTGAAGAAAGTAGTAAAAATAAGCATGTGATGACATGTTCAAAGAAGCTCATCAATTAAATCTAAGAGTTAAGCCAGAAAAACATAATATTCTAAACCATATTTTCCTAGAAAAAAAATAAAATTCATCAGCATACTTAAAATTCTCCCAAGGCAAACATTATTCAACGAAAACAACTCACTCAGTTTTCTGATAAATAGCATTCCACATTTTTAAGATTAAAAAAAAAAGTGCTGTATTTACTTAAACTAAAGTTTTATCATATTTAGCTCGATAACTGAGAATAAAACACTTGATTTAAGAAACTTCTTTCATTGTCTTTTGACCCACTTACGCTCTTCCAGTGCTTGGTTGTATGTAATGGCAAGACTCAGATCATTCTAAGTCAATGCAAAGTCTGGTCACACAAACCTTGTAGAGTCAGAATCCCTTTATGCTGGGTGCTGAATACTAATTTCACACTATATTATGTTAAACTTATATTTACCTTTCAAAATGCCTTCCAACAATTTCTAGATACTTTACAACAGACAGATCATATTGTAAGTGCTATCATACTGATGGAGAAAGGGAAGCCTTATCAGAATCTGTTAATTACAAATAGCCGAGTAGGTGAGCTGAAGTTAAAACTCAAGTTTTGATCCCCTGTCCTAATGTTTTCCATTTCAAGACAGAATGTGGTGAGACAGTGGAAGAGAAGCTAGATGACTGAGACCTATGTATGCCAAAAGACTTCTTCAAAAGGTTAAAATAGAACCTACAAATTGGGAAAAAAATATTTGGCTATGATATATCTGAAAAGGGACTTATCTCTATAATTTATAGAAAACTTCAACAGCCCAACACCACAAAGACAAACAACTCAACTTAAAAACGGGCAAGGGACATGAACAGGCACTTCACTGAAGATGATATACTGGTGGCCAACAAATATGAGGAAATGCTCACGATCATCAGCCATTAGAGAGATGCAAATCAAAACACAGTGAGATATTATCTCACCCCAGCAATAATAGCAAAGTTCAACAAGACAGAAAATAACAAATGCTAATGAGGGTGTCTTGGGCAATCCTACTTCTGTAGTGATACTGCCTCAGAAACCCAAGGAGGGGTCGCTATGAGTCAGGTATGACTCGACGGCACATAACAACAACAACAACAAGTGAGGGTGTGAAGAGATTGGAACTCTCTCATATGGTGGGACTGTAAAATGGTACAACCATTGTGGAAAACGGTATGGTGTTTCCTTAAAAAACTGAAAATAGAAATACTATTTGATACACCAATTCCATTTATAGTAATATATCCTAAAGAGGTGAGAGACAGAACATGAACAGACATATGCACACCCACATTCTTCACAGCACAATTCAGTACAGCAAAGTGATGGAAACAACCTAAATGCCCATCAACAGATGAATGGATAACCAAACAGTGGTAGATTCACACAGTGGAATATTATGCAACATTGAAAATAATGAAGAATACACGAATCATCTCACAACATGGATGAACTTGGAGCACACTATGCTGAGTAAAATAAGGCAATTACAGAAGGGCAAATATTGTATGAGCCCATTACTGTAAAAAGTCAAGGAAAGGTTTACTTAGAGAAGGAAATTCACTTTGTTGGTTACCGGGGATGGGAGGGAAAAGGAGGAAAAAGTTTGGACTACTTGAGGGTCACATGTTGATTTGGGTGAGGGGAGGTCCGGTATGGAAAAAGAGTCTGTGACCAGCATGATGACATGGAAAAAGGAAGGACACTGAAACATGCACATATGATATAGAAAACAAAGGCAAATACTAGCATATGTACAATACTGCATTATCACTAACACCAAATACCAGGCCACGGATAAATGTATAGACCGGTGAAATGTACTGACAGTGATTCTGTTTTCCTCTTGTGCAGTTAGAGGAGGTCAGAAGATGTGGCCTTCCTGCCCTTTTAGCAACACCCTATTTTGGTGAGTAGCGACTCAGATCTTAAAAGCCTTGAGCAGTCATCTAAGATGCAACTAGTGGACTCCTCTCATTTGAATCAAAGAAGCATGAAGAAAATCAAAGGCATGTGGAAACAATTAGTCTAAGAACAAGACCGACTTCAAGGACCTCAGCCTTCACAACCCCAAGACCAGAAGAAAAGATGATGCCCAGCTACCAATGCCAACCACTCAGAAAGGGATCAAAACTGGAGATCCTAGATAGAATGGAAGGAACAATGTAGAATACAATTAAAAAACACAAAAATGACCAGAATTACTGGCCAGATAGAGACTGGTGGAACCCCCAAGACTATGGCCCCAAGTTACCCTCCAGACGTAGAAATGGACTCACTTCCATGGATTGGCTCTGAGCCCAACAGTAGAAAGACCTACAGGCAGAACACCTACCCCAGGGTGATGTACCCACTTACTCTAGGAAGATGCACCCCTTAGATCAATCAGCCACGAAACATCAGAGGGGCAGCATTCACATAGAGGGAAAGCTGGATAGACAGGAATGCTAGTTAAGAAGGGCACAGGCAAAGGGTACTCACAAGGATGGGAGGGGAGGAGAGTTTGTTATGGTCGGGGATGGTAATTGGGGCATGAAATCAAATGTACATGAACAGTTGAATATAAAATAAATTTGCTTGTAAATTTGCACTCAAAGCACAATAAAATTTAAAAAGAAAAGACAGAATGTGTTACTTTTCAAACTTGTTCAGTACATTTAAGAAAGTAGGGAAGAAATTACAAATTCATTGAGGAAAACAGCTAGGGTAACCAACCATCGCAGTTTACCGCCGGGACAGAGAGGCTCCCAACAGATGACTTTCAATGCTAAATGCGGCAAAGTCCTAGTCTAATCAAAATGGTTGGTCACTCTAAAAACAGCTATCAAAAGAGATACTAGACATGGAGGGTATGTTGAACCTTCGAAAGAAAATCTATTGGACTATAATAATGAAGTGGGAGAATGAAAATACCACATAAAATATTTAATTTCTCTATTACCCTCTGAGTTCTTTGAGATAGGATCTTTGAATTCATCTTTATATTCCCCCAAAAGTTCTAATACAGTGCCTTGTATATTTTAATGTATTTATATTTACACTACATGACTGTGGGATAAATGTGGAGGGGCATGGTAGAAAGCAAAGGGAAAAATAACTTTGAGAATTTCATTTCTGTGTAGAAGACTAAGAGCCGAAATACTAGTTTTATGAGAACAGTGCTACGAATATTTGAATACTGGTGCCACCATACTCTTTCAAATTTCTATTTTCATTAATGTCAGTTCTAAAATAACAACTTAGAATGGAGAGGAAAATTCTTCTATTACAGATAAGCTTTAGCAAATTGAAGAAAATGGGGGAAAAAGTCAAGGCTATATCATATTATCTCCACTAAGGGAATATGAAACACATAATTCCTTACCAGAGAGCAATTTTATAGTTTACAAACCAAGATAACTAGTTTGTGATTTTAAAAACATAGTTACCAAGAATTTATTGCATTATCTATATCTTTTACCTTGCACTAAAACATTATTTAAAAAAAAACCCAAAACCAAACTCACTACTGTCGTCAAGTAGATCCCTACTCATAGTGACCCCTCCCTGGGTTTCCAAGGAGTATCCCTATGGAAGTAGATTGCCCAATCTTCCTTCCATGAGTGGCTGGTGGGTTTGAACTGAACATTACAGCACAAACTATTTATTACAGGTTTTTCTCCCTCTTCCCTCCTCCCCATTCCTCACAACCAACAAAGAAAGTTTCCTTGCATATGTAAACCTTTCCTTGTCTTTTTTACAATTGTGTACTAACATAATATTTGTCCTACTGTGACTGACAAGTTATTTTTTAAAAGTTCAGATGTATTACCAACCTTAAACTGCTAACCACCAGGTCAAATGTATTTTCTCGGAAGGGAAGGAATTCTTCATCAGCTACAACATTGACAGTAGGAATTTCTGTTCCTAAGGTATTTTTCTGTTAGTAAAAAATAAAAGTTTAAGAACACATTTATACAGAATCTCAATTACTAACACAATCACTATTAAATTGAAGCAATGTTATATTTATGTGGCAGTTTACACTCCGTCTAAAAAATAATAAGGGGGCACATAGAAAAAGCAATCAAAAAAATTTATTTAATGACATTTAAGACCAGCTAGAAATACTGAGTATAAATTAGAAAAACAAACAGAATGCCCATTTAACACCACAGCAAATCCCAGAGGGCTCAAAGCTTCAATGAAATAACTGAAACTTTAAATGTATTGGTGCTCTGGTGGTGTAGTGGATAAGCCACTTGACTGCTAACTAGAAAGTCAGCAGTTCAAACCCACCAGCTACTTTATGGATAGAAGACTCTGTGATCTACTTGCATAAAGATTTACAGCCTCAGAAACCCAATGGGGGTTACTATGAGTAAGAAATGACTCAATGGCAATGAATTTTGTTTTGTTGTTTTCTTTTAAATATATTAAGAGAAACCATGGGTAAACATTTTAATACTCTTACGTGAAAAAGCCTAAGTATGATGCAAAACTACTGAGGGAAAAAAAAATTCACATTTGATTACAAACTAATTAAAAATCTTCTAAAAAGGAATAAACAATGTCAACAACAAACTAGGAAAAATATTTACAATATATGCCATTAAACACTAATATCCTTAAAGAATAAGTTCTTACAAATCACCTAGAATAAGAACATGACAAGTTAAAATAAAGGACTAGGAATAGCAATTCAAAAAATTATTTACTAAATCCTAACAATGAGATTCTACTTTCTGCATATCAGAAGACAAAAAAGAAATAAAATATCACTGTTGCCCAAAAAAAAAAAAGAAGGAAAAACAAGTACTTCCATATAATTCTACTGTTGAGTCTAGAGATGTATATTAGAAATTAAAAATGAACACCACTGAATCCATAAATTACAGTACCAAGAAGAAAAATCAATCAAATACACAAACTTATACAAGAATGTTTCGTAAGTGTTGATTATTGAAACATTAGAAATAAAAGTGCCCTTCGATAGAATTTACTTAAATAATCCATGGAATACTACATAGCAAACCACACTCACTGCCGTCGAGTTGTTTCCAACTCATAGCAACCCCTCCTTGGGTTTCCGAGGTAGTATCTCTACGGAAGTAGACTGCCCAATCTTCCTTCCGAGGAGTGGCTGGTGGGTTTGAACCACCAGCCTTAGTTAGCAGTCAAATGTCTGAGGCAATACATCACCAGAGCTTGCAGAATACTATATAGCCTTTTTAAAAGATGGTATATATATCATTAGCATAGAAATGACATCGTGTGAAGATGATGCATGTTAGCACAATACCATTTTCATAAAATTGTGTGTTGGGACGATAGTTACATCAGCAAAGGTGGAGACCAAAATGTCATTAACTTTGCTCTGGGTGGTGGGATTATGGGTGATTTTTCTTTTCTCCTTTGTATTTCCTGTGCCGCTTAATTCTTCATATATGTTATATGTATAAGCTTTGGTGGTGTAGTGGTTAAGAGATCTGGCTGCTAACCAAAAGGTTGGCAGTTTGAACTCATCAGGTGCTCTGTGGAAAAAAGATGAGCCAGTCTATTTCCAAAAAGATTTATAACCTTGGAAACCTAATAGTGGTTGCTATGAATCAGAATTGACTAGATGGCAGTGATTCGGGTTTTGGTTTGATTATGTGTATAATTGTTTAAAATTAAGCAACTGTTATTTTCAAGAAAATAAAAAATAAAGGAATAAAGACCTGATCAGAAGCCAACAGTGTTAAGAAGCCACCTACCAAAGCATTCTCTGCAATGTCTGCTTGGAAAAACTTTCCAACAGTTTCCTGCAATGGAATAATTAAATCTGATCAAATGATGAAACAAAAAACAACAACAATAAAAACAGTAACAAATAAAACAAAACAACTGTTGCAACTGCTAAGGAAAAAGTCATAATTACACAGGCATTTTCAGTTTTTTAAGTGTATTTTTCTGTGTATCACCAGTGGTACAAAAATTAATAACTAATAGGAAGTTAAATAGACACAGAGGACCTAGAATGGTTTCTTGCCCTTTAGTCATTCATTCAAGAGTTTACAAAAAATAATAAAACACTTAACAAATGTTATACTTGGGAAGGGGAAGTTAAGTAGTTTTACCTTCCCTCTGCTTTACCTATCCTCTCTTCCTTCTTACTACAGAGAGTGAAGGACAGTCCTACTTTGCTTGACCTGTTTAAAGCATAGCTCTGTTAATGGTATCCTAGAAATTTAAGCTACTCTGGTCTTCCCTCCTCTACTACAGAAGCCAATCCTTTCCACCGTACACACAGCTCCTTCTTAGAAAACTTTCCTGATTACAACTTGGGAAGACCATCATTACCTGCTGACTGGTAATGACTGAGGGCAATTGGTAGTGAGGTAAATGTTTAACAGTCTCTGAAAAAAAAAAAAAGTGCCCTGAGTTGTAGTGTTTGCTGATTTCTATGATGTTAACTACACCCACAATAGCAGACTCCATGCTACCGATGTGACACTGTTTAACACAGTTGTTGTTGTTATGTGCCATTGAGTCAGACCTGACTCAGAGCAACCTCTCCTTGGGTTTCCGAGGTGCTATTGCTATGGAAGTAGATTTCCCAACCTTCCTTCCAAGGAGTAGCTGGTGGGTTTGAACCACTAGCCTTCTACCAGAGCTCCCTGCTGAATGCAGAGGTACAATGAAACGTGCACAACTGGCTCTTTCCAACAAGCTTCAGTAAACTGTGAGCTATGAAGAATTAAGCCATTTAGACAATCTGTCCTGGTCTAACACCTGAAAATTTGAACTAAGAGTTTTAGAGAAAGGAATAAAGGGGCAGAGATCCTTGGACTTGGAGTATGTATTGTTAACTTAAGGCATAGGCCACAGTGGGTTGATAAATGTTTTAAGAACTGGGCTTTTGGTGATGAACTGCTTTTTAGCATTTTAAACTTTCACATGAGTGCACAACGTTGCTGAACATATAGGTGGGAAGAGTTGCTAACAATGAGCTCTCATGAGCTGGTATGAGTCTGCTCCAGCACACCACAGTCTGCAGAGAGGAAAAAGAATGAAGGCAACCATGCAGCAGCCATGTAATCCAGAGAACATCTGAACAAGAGGGCCTTGGTTCTAATGTTTGTGAAGCCTGGCTGTATTCCCCTATGCCTGTGTAATAAATGTCCTGTACCATTTCTGTGGCATTTACTATTATCAATAATAGTGTTTTCTAAGCCTCATACTTCTGCACCAATACAAGTTTTTACCTAAATAGATTTTGTACAGAAATGCCACTTTAATCTTTCTGTCCAACAGAGTCCTATATATAGGAACAACCATTAATAAAATAAAGATGTCACTTTAAAGACTAATGTGCACCTGACCCCAAGCCATGGTATTTTCAATAGCCTCATATGAAAGCTGGACAATAAATAACGAAGACTGAAGAACTGATGCATCTGAATTGCAGTGTTGGCAAAGAATACTGAAAAAATCATTGACTACCAGAAGAAGGAAGAAAGCTCTCTTGGAAGAAATGCAGCTGGAAAGCTCCTCAGAAGCGAAAATGGCCAGATTTTGTCTCTCAAACTTTGGTCATGTCATCAGAAGGGACCAGTTCCTGGAAAAGGTTATCATGCTTGGTAAAGTAGAGGGTCAACGAAAACAACAAGATGGACTGACAAAGTGGCTGCAATGATGGGCTCAAGAAATGATTGCAAGGATGGCACAGCATCAGACAGTGTCTTGCTCTACTGAACACAGGATTGCTATGAGTTGGAAGTGTCTTGATGGCACATGTGGTACACTGAATTACTTGATATGGCTCTTGTAGCCATGGTCTTTATGACTCCCACCAGATGACTGGTGGAACTATGCATTATTAAGGTGTCTGTGGCACACCAAGGGGAGTGGATAGCTTATTAGTTATGTAAATAAGGTACAAGGCACCCTTGTGGGGGTGGGAGCGTGGATATAAGGTACATGGAACCATAATGTGGGGATTAGTCAGCTTTGTCATTCCACTAGGCTTAACATGAGCCCTCCCAGAGGCATAAAGGAAGTTCTCACTACCATCAAGGTACAGAATGAAGGACAGGACTGAAGCATACCCTTGGAACCAAGATCCCTGTGCTGAGATGACAACAGAGAGACTAGTAGAGAAACAGTGGCACCAGAACCAAGAAACCACCATGAGTCAGAGTGGTAGGCTAGCCAGTCCATGGAGGAAGAAAGCTGAGTGTCTCTGGCCAGCAGGGTTGCTGGTAGAATAAGGTACACCTACATGCACCTATTGGAAGAACTAAAAGAGCTAACACTTACCTGAGCCAAGCCAGAAGCCAGACAAAGAGGCCAAAGGCTAAAGAGAGATGTGCCTGTGGGCACAGGAGAAGGTAGCCTAATTTGTATACGAAATGTATCATGAGAGCATTCCTGAACCTGAAACGTAACCTGTTACTTCCCTAATAAACCCCAGATAGTATTGTCTGTTAAGTTCTGTGTGGTCACTGCAACAAATTATTGAACCCAGTGGAGAAGCAAAAAGTGCCATGGGAGGGATGGTTGGTATCAGAATTGGTAAAAAGGTTGGACAGTGGCAGCTGGTCTGACTTCTGCCTCACAGTAGTCAGCCTTGAGCTGCCGATGGTGATTCTGTCTCCCTCTCATGAAGTTAAAGGAGGCCAGAGGAAGACACTGCTTCCAAGCCCTTTCTGTAGCACCTGACACCGCCACGACTACCAATACAATGCCCTGGTGGTGCGATGCTTAAGTACTTGTCTGCTAACCTACCTAGTGGCTCCATAGGAGAAAATCCTGACCATTTGCTCCCATAAACATTACAGCCTAGAAAATCCTATGGAGCAGTTCTACTCTGTCACATGGGGTTGCTATGAACCAGAATAGACTCAACAGCATCTAACAACTTCTATTTAATTGTACAGAAAGATTGATAAACAACTCATAAAATAAATATTTTTCTTTCCTACATTAGCTTAATCATATTTTCCATATTAATGCCAATCTGATTTTTATTTTAAATTATAAAAAAAAGTATGACTAAAGTGGGAATAAAAAGAAACTTACCTTACATGGGTTTTTAAAAACAGTAAGAATGCTGTATAATACAACTTCAAAGGAAAAAAAAAAACAACGTAAGAAAAAAATGCTGAGAAGAAAGTGGTTCTAGCACTTAAAAAAAAAGTTAGCAATTCTAATATAATCAAAATCTAAATATACAAATTGTTGCTACTAGTCGGAATCAACTCAATGGCAGTAGGTTTGGGTGGTTTTTTTTTTTAAAATGAATTAATTTTATTTCTCAAAGTAAAATTATGTCATTGAATAATGTACCTTATTCAAATTCTGTGCTATGTAACCTCTTCCACAACCAACATCCAAAGCAAGGGGGAAATCTCTAAAACAAAGAGACATTAAGTTATGCTCTGTCAGTAATAATACCACACATACAAATATACATGTGATATACGTCATACATAATTATTACTAAGAACTAATTTTTCTTAAGTAAAAACATTTTATTGAACATAGCTTTCAGAAAGTTATCATTTGCCTTGCCTTTCAAGCTATACCTACCAGAGAGTATAATGTAAGAAGCAACTCTGTCTAGCCTGCCATTTACACGATCTCAGAATGAACCAGCTTCCAGTAAGGTTGTTCCATGATATGGATTGGAAGAACAGCTTAAATGGGCTTTTTAATTTTATAAAATATCCAATAAAGAATGAAAAGAAGTATATATAAACTAACAGGAAAATAATGAACATACTTATCAGGGACTTGTTGTTGTTATGTGCCGTCGAGTTGGCCCCGACTCATAGCGACCCCTCCTCAGGTTTCCGAAGCAGTATCACTACGGAAGTAGGATTGCCCAACCTTCCTTCCGAGGAGTGGCTGGTGGGTTTGAACCACCAGCCTTCTGGTTAGCAGTCAAGTGCTTTAGCCACTATGCTACCAGAGCTCATATCAGGGACTTAGTAAATAAATACCTCTATTTTTCAAATTTGTTAACTTGTCAGATCATTTGGAAATGATTTTTTTGTGAATTACTATGAAGTATCAATTTGTTAAATAAAAAAAAAAAAAAAAAAACTAGGTAACAGTTAATCTTTACAGAAAACTTATCAGGTTCAAAGCATTATGGTAAAAGTTCAGAATTGTGGAAGTCAACAAAAAGTAAGTGACAGAGTCAGAACGTGAATCCAATGCTTGAATCCTGAATCAGAACTATTATCTCCTATGCCATACTGCCTCCTCTAAATATGCTATAATACTAAATCAGTATAAACTTCTAATTGTAGGTCATATGTTAAAGAAAAATTTGTGACAGGAAACTTATCAGCTAATGTTTTTCAAAAAAAAATTGGAAGAAGAGACTTTCTCAATTTCTGTTACAAATCTACGTCAAAAACATAAAATACCAGTACAGAGTTGGAGAACACTACTGGTGAGAGTTAACCATTTATTTACGTTGTATGCTGTATCTCTATTACTAACAAAAGCAGTATGGCACAATTGTTAAGCATGCAGGCTCTGAAATCAGACAGACAGTAGCTAGCATTCTGGGCCTGAAATTTATTGGTTCTGTAACCATAAACAAGTGATTTAACCTTGATAGATCTTAGTTTCCCACTATAAAATGAAAAGATGACTGCTTCACTCAGAGTTGGTCTAAGAATTTTGCAAAACAGTCCATGTAAAAGGAGCCCTGGTGGTGCAATGGTTAAGCACTCAGCTGCAAACTGAAAGGTCAGTGGTTTGAAACCATAAGCAGCTTTACAGAAGGAAAGACATGGCTATCTGCTCCCATAAATGTAAAAGCCTAAGAAATTCTAGAGAGAAGTTCTACTCTGTCCTATAGGGTCCCTGTGAGTTGAATAGACTCATTGGCACACAACAATCAAGGGTATGTAAAGCATTTAGCACAGAACAAATGCTCAACAAGTTAATTAGCTTATCACCATAGAGCCTCTGAATTCATAAATAAGACATTTATTAATCTGTGCAGTTAGTTTTTTAAAAATCAACAAAAGATCAATGTTGATAACATACACTACTTTTTATAGTAAAAGAACATTAGCTAAGAACATTTAGACTAGTATTTTTCATAATTCAATTTCAAAGAGTTAGTTTAAGACATGCTTTTATCCATAATCACAGGTCTCTCTATAGACTTGGGTTTTGTTAATTCCTGTGAAATAAAAAGGTTATAAAATCCTAACAGATTTCCAAAATTTAATTTTTCATTAATTAAATCATAAATGGTCTATACTCCAAGCATAACAAATAACTACAATATTAAGAATTAGCCATCTTTCAGATCATTAAAATAAAATAATGACACTAATGAAACAAAAGAAATGGGGTAATCATTTGAAATACTGAAGTAGCTTTTGTCTCATGGATTTAATTTATTCCAAGACTCTCTTAAGCAGCACGGATGGATTTAAAATATGACTGAAAGAGTTCATGGTTGTACCATGTTCATCACAGCACTATTTATAATAGCAAAAAGATGGAAACAATCTAGGTATCCATCAACTGAAGAATGGATAACCAAATTATGGTACATACACACAAAGGAATACTATGAAACTCTAAAGAATGACGTAGAATCGGCAAAACACCGCACAATGTGAATGAATTTAGAGGAGATTACACTGAGTGAATTAAGTCAATCACAGAAGGACAAATATTGTATTAGTCCGTTATTGTAAAAAAAAAATCAATGAAAGGTTTATATATAGAAGGAAATTTTCTTTGTTGGTTACCAAGGGTGGGAGGGGACGGGAGGGAACACTGTTAGATAGGTAGAGACAAGCATTGATTTGTGTGAAGAGAAGGGCAATGTACCAAATTTGAGTGATCAACATAGTGGCACTAAGAGGAAGACAGAGAGAGGTACATGGGAGGTACAGGCAATAAAGATGAACCCTTCCGCACATACAATACTGCATTGTCAGTGAAGGCAAACATGGATATACGGGTAGATGGATGGACAGGCTGAACTATTAGGTTTGTCTATGCAGGGGGGAGTGTGCCCAAGACCACGTATAGGGTTGGCAGACAATGTTTCTACAAGTGTATTTGTATGTTCTGTAAAATTTCCTAGGTATATAGTAGAGCTGACAAGGGACAAGGTTATAGTCACTTCTTGGCCAAAGCCAACTACCCAGAGGGAACGAGTAGTTGGACCTGTGGGCTCAGGACCATAGTCACAGGGGACATCAAGCTCAATTGGCATAACATACTACGCAAAACATTGTTCTGCCTCCTACTTTGGTGAGTAGTGACTGGGATCTTAAAAGCTTACAAGCAGCCATCTAAATGCAATGCTAGGTCTCTCCTCCTCCAGAGCAAAGAAGAATAAAGAAAAACAAAGATTCATGGAAACAATCAGTCCAAGCAACTGGTATACCATGTGATCCTCAGCCTATACGACTGAGACCAGAAGAACTATATGTTGCCCGGCTACCACTGTCAACCACTCAGAGGGGGATCTATGTCGGAGATCCTGGATAGAGTGGGAGAATAATGTGGAAAACTCAAAATCATCAAGTAAAAAAAAAAAAGGACCAGGTTTGCTGGTCTGACAAGAGTGATGGCACCACTGAGACTATGGCCCCTAGCTGGCCTTCAGGTCTGGAATTGAACCCACTCCTGTGGCTTCCAGCCAAACAAAAGACAGGCATATGAGCTGAACATTTACATTAGGTAGATACACTCCTTGGAGAGAACAATCATGGGAGAATAGAAGGGCTGTGTATGCACAGGGAGACAGTTCAGAAGGCAGGAGTGCATGGAGGGAAGGACACAGGGAAGAGGTAACTATGGGGAGGAAGTAGGAGGGGAACTGTTCCATTGTGGTAAATTGTAGTCAACATTATGAGACAAAGTGTATGTGAGCTGCTGTATGGAAAGTGAATTTGCTCTGTAACTTTTACCCAAATCACTATACAAAAAACAGAAAAAGAAAAAACATATGATAGAACAACAACAAAAAAAGTTCATGGTTTTACAAAATTCTCTTTATTATAGACATACGAAATACATTTATCCCATCTTGGTATAATTTAACGGATGATATTTAAGCAAAAGAGAACATAAAGAGTGATTTGCTAACATCATGTTGTTGTTGTTGTTATGTGCCATCGAGTCGGACCCGACTCATAGCGATCCATCCTTGGGTTTCCGAGGCAGTATCACTACAGAAGTAGATTGCCCCATCTTCCTTCCAAGGAGTGGCTGGTGGGTTTGAACCGTCAGCCTTCTGGTTAGCAGTCAAGTGCCTTAGCCACTATGCTACCAGAGCTCCCTGCTAACATCATAAAGTAACTCTATTGCATGGTTCAATCCAGGAATTTGCCACATAGCTGTCAACTCCAGTCTATACAACTTGTACTATGTCTAATATGGAATAATGAATCAATTCACCAAGTTTTCAATAATACTTGATGAAAGTGTTCTTTTCTTAAATCTGCCTCATAGAACCTTGTTACCGTTAACAATGCTTAAGATAAAATGGCCAAAGGCTCATACAACCTAACCGGAAAGCAAATCTAGGTAGATAAATTCTTTCCTTCATTAGATAAGACACTGTACTGCTAACTTTAATTAAATATTTAAAGTTAGGTATAGTAAATCCTAAATATTCACATATAGAATTTCTTTATCTCCATTTTTGCAGCAATTCTACTACTAGCTCTTGGCCAAATTAAAAGATCATTCACTCAGGCTTGGAGAGAAGCTATGCATTATGCTTGCATTCATTCATGTTTGAGGGAACAATGAAAAAAAAAGAACGTTTGCTCTCTCAGATGTGAAAAACAAGGAGAGAATTAGAGTGGCTATCACCACTCCTAATAATAAATTCCTCCAGATTCTGCCACTCCAGATATCAAACTCTCCACATTTAATCTCGAGTCTCCAGCCAAACATTTATCACATTTTGTTAAGTAATCATCACTTACCTGGCTATGTCATATACACGATCAGCAATCCGACTTCCAACCTGAAGTTCGAACAAGAGGCAATGATATACACAAGTTAAGATAAGCAGGTTTAACAGAGAAGTAACACTCTTTTTCCAGTATTCAATAACTCATAGATTACTTTTATTAGAGAGGTATTTCCCTTTTTTTTTATCTGATCAAATAAAGTTTTTAATTCTGAATAGGAAGATAAATAAATGAAAACAACCTAAGAAACAAATTGAGGCAACTTACTTTAAAAGTTAATTTAACTAAATCATAGACTACACATTTTTTAAAAAAAACATATATATATGTATGCATGCACATATACATATCCTTTATATTTCATGTAATATACGATGTCAAGAATGAAAAGCAATAGGAACATTACTGTTCACTGGTATTAGCATGAGATATATGAAAGTGAAAAAATTTGGAATGTGTAATGGCCACTTGATAAGAACTGTAGTAACTGGTGAATAATAGCAAATGCTGTGGGACTCCTAAATGAGTAAATAACTTTCTTGAGTCACATTTACACTTTAGAAAAACTCATTCAAATCTGAAGTGCCCCCCCCCCCAATTTGAAAAGAGGTTATAAGATAGGCTCCTCTTTTCACTGGGCTAGCTTTATTTGGTAGGAATAAAAATGTGGGAGCCTAATATTCTCCCCCTCCCATTGCATCCATCATGAGCATCCTAGAGTTTCTATTATGGCTTGAAATTTCAGAACATATGTGTATCTGCATGTATCTGCTTTTTTAGGGGGTGGGAGTAGGAAGAGATATACAGCACATTATCAAGTTGACTTGATATGCCATTCTTAATTTGAATACCTTATATTTATTATAAAAAGAGCTCTCATGTACATTATCTCATTTAATTCTAGGTTCGCATATTGTCCAGGCCTCAACCAAGCTATAGTTAGGTGTTTTTCCTGGAGGGTAACAGGAGTTAGGAACACAATCTTCTGAGTATATGCTACCATGAGCCCTTCAGGAGGAACTAGCAACTGGCAGTATCAGTATAGGATGTGCACTGTTCCTTATGGATAAGATACAAAAAGTTTCTTGATAGTTTACTTTCTACTTCTATGATATGCATTACCAATCTCCCCTTCTAAATTCTAAGGCTCTTGAAGAACACACTGTCAAACATCTGTTATCTGCTATCTCTGATGCAACCTCAGTCCAAAGTAGGAGCTCAATAAATTTCATTGCATAGGCTTGAAAGAGCTCATTGTACTTGATTCCAGCTTTGTTCCATCCTGGAAGAAGCACTTATGAGGCCTGAAGTTGGTGCTGTGTGTCCATAGAGTAGAAATAGAAACTCTTAGCCCCTCATCCTTGAACAGCACCAACTGGGCAGAGAAGATGAAGTCTCAAATTTGACCAAGCAAATGAGAGATCTTCATTTCATCTTCCTAAAGTGTAATTCAGGTCACATCATTAGCCTGCTTAAAACTATCCAATGACCTCACTTTCCTCTAGAGCATGCTGTCCAATAGAAATGCAATAAGTGATGCGTAATTTTGAATTTTCTAATATCTATTTTTAAAAAAGTAAAACAGAAACTAGTTTGAATATTTTATTTAACCTAATATATCAAAAATATGAACATCTCTTCAGAGAAAAAATTATAAATGTGTAATGGCCACTTGATAAGAACTGTGTAACTGGTGAATAATAAATAGCAAATTCTGTGGGACTCCTAAATGAGTAAATAACTTTCTTAAGCCACATTTACACTTTAGCAAAAGTCATTCAAATCATTCAATAAAATATTATTGATATATTTTACTTTATTATTTTCTGCAGTGAAATCCAGTGTGTGCTTTGCACCTACAGGACATCTAGATTGGCTTAGCCACATTTCAAGTGTTCAAAAACCACATGCTGCCAGCAACTACCATACTGGATGTACAGCACGGGCAAAGAAGACAATGCAAAGCTTTTACCTTATGAGGCCCTAATAACTCAGGCCCTTATGGACTCTTTCGCCACTCAGGAGAGCTCTAAATTCCAGCTTTACTGAGGACTCAACAAAATCCTTTCGGCCCAGGGGCTTTACACCTTGTCTTTCCCTTTAGGGCTTTTCCCCTATGATCTCAGCTCGACTACCTAATTCCTCATGAGGTCTCCTTGTCCAGCGGCAATCCCAGACCTCAGCAGTTACTATCATTTAAGCTCTATTTTATTTCTTATTTCCCTGACCTTATTTGTTTAACTGAAATTACCGTCCTGGTTAATTTGGTTTTTTGCCTATGGTCTGCTCGCCCACTCCCCTCAACAAATGCAAGCACCTGGAGGGCAGCGGTCTTATTTTGTCCTGGTCACAGCGGTAACTACAGCGATATGTGCTGAATGAATGAATGAACGAATGAATAAAATTCTAGGAATATCCTAAACCCGCCAGCTCGTGCTTACGGTAGAGGCTCAGAGAGGCAGAGCGGCTGCTCAAGGTCACACGGCGAAGCGCGGTCAAGGCCCTGCCCAGTTCTATGACCGAAGCTTGGGGTCGGCGCTGCCCTTCCCCGGTCGCCTACCCTCTCACCTCCTCCTTCAGATAGTCATACTTCATCGGCTCAGGCTGCTGGGCCGCCCAGTTCTTCTGTTTCCTCTTCAAACTCCGGTCAAAAATATTTAGGGACCCAGGCGAGGCACCGTTCGGGAGAGACATGCCAGAAGCGACCTTCCTGCGGCTAAAGTTCTCCGCGGGGACCCCCGCCACCGCAGGTCGCCGCCACAGACACCAGAGACCCTTAAATCGTAGCATTTTTAACCCGGATGTCACTAGCCAGCTCGCTTAGGTCACGCGCATGCCCAGCCGCAACTGTGGAGCCAACCAGAGAAATCGTAGCAGAGGAAAAAGGGAAGTAGTTTGGCCCACCTCGCGTGCCATTACGGCCGAACGACATGCGGAGGATTGTGGGTGTTGGTCTCGTGTGAGATGTGGAGACGGCTGTGGGGCTCCAAGTGGCTTGCTTGTACAGCGTTAGGAAGACAGTAGAGGGGAAGAAGCAGTCTCTGACGGGGTCTTCTCTGGATTCGTGATTGGTACGCCTGTTCCTCCTGACCTTTCTAGCCTCATTTTTCTAACTTTCTTGACTCTCCTCAGTGGTCCCTTTCTCTAGGGGCCTCAGAGCAAAAGCTGTAGTGGGAAAAGGGCACTCGTTCGGTGTTCACCCAGATGAGGGGGCTACTGAGATGAGGGAGAGCGTAGGAGCTGAGGTCTGAGCTCTTTTTATTCTGTTGTAATATCTGACGTTTATCAAGTGCTTTCGTACCAAACATTTACGTATTACCTTTATTAGTTTGATGTGATGATATCTATGTCGGAAGACTTTATGGAGGGTTAAATATCTTAATACATGTAAAATTCTTGCAACAGTACTTGGCATATAACAGTTCGTCATTATTAATATAAGTATTATTTTTATTTTAGTGTGTGAATGTATCTGTGAAATCTGTTTTTTCCACCTAAGTCATTAAAAAAGAAAGTTGTTTTAAGAAAACACAGCTTTGTGGTCAAGCTTTGTTTTTAAAACAAAGCATAACTACCCTTCTTGACCACTATTTGCTTTTAATACTCACTTACTTTTGTTATTTACCAAAAATCAAATCCAGAGATGCTGAACCATTGGTAACTGTTTTCAGGGGAACAGTGCTAATTTGTAAGTGCATGTTTATATTTATTCTAATATAATAATCTATTCTAGCATAAGATAGAAGATTGGGCAATCTACTTCCGTAGTGATACCGACTAGGAAACTCAAGGAGGGTCTCTGTGAGTCGAATCCGACTCGATGGCAGTTAGTTTGGTTTTTTTGGTTTAGCATAAGATATTACAGGAAAAAAGTGATATTTATTAACTGAAGTGAGTCTCTATGTGAGTCTTGAACAAGAGGGCAGTAGGATTTAAAGAGGGACGTTGATGAGCTAAAGCTGAATCGATTTTGATCTGTTTATGAAGTAATTAGGAGATTGGCCTTGTAGAACTACAGGCTATTGGGACTACCAGAAGGTAAGGATTAACAGTGAAAATGGGCGGGGAATGCAAAGAAACAAGGGGCCAAACCAAGGCTTGCAAGTATTTTAATTATATTAGGTAGCTTTTTTAACTTACAACACGGACAGGAATTCTGAGTGCCATTGGCTAGTGGACATTTACCCTAGCAAAAAGCTGTGGGAATCTGTTTGCCTTATTTCTTCAAATGTTTTCTAATGAAAAAGAATATTGTGATATGTGTTTGTTCTTCTACATATGAACCAGAGCAAGTAGGGAAAATGAAATTAGATTTGTTACCTTCATTTAATTTATAGCATATTGTGAATTAATATTTTTTTCAAAAAAATTTAATTGCATTCCTAACTCTTCATTATTTTAACATTTGTTTGATTTTTTTTTAGTGTTCGGCTTTTTCACGCTTTTGTCTAGTCCAGAGGTTTCAAAATGACATCCAAACAAGAGATCATGAGTGACCAGAGGTTTAGACGGGTTACAAAGGACCCAAGATTTTGGGAAATGCCAGAAAAGGATAAAAAAGTCAAAATTGACAAGAGATTTCGAGCCATGTTTCATGACAAAAAGTTCAAGTTGAACTATGCTGTGGATAAAAGAGGGCGCCCCATCAACCACAGTACTACAGAGGACTTGAAACGCTACTATGACCTTTCAGATTCTGATTCAGATCTCTCTGATGAAGATAGCAAAGCCCAGAACCAAGAAAAAATGAAGAAGAAAAAAACTCAGGCTAAAACAGGAATAGATTCAAAGAGTCTGGTTGAGGAGAAAAAGAAATACTTGAAGAAAATTAATGAAAAGAATTCTGAAAGTAAAAATGTATTACATAATTCTGAAACAATTCAGAAAGCAAAAATATCCTTTAAATCTAAGAAGGATAGCAAAGAATTTGTACAGAAAGGTACAAAAGAGAAAAGAAGCATTGTTCAACATAGTACAGACTACCTTCCTAAAGGAAAACTGAAGATAATTGACTCGAACATCACTGAAATATTGAAATCACCCTGCCCCAAGACAGGGAAAGAAATGCAATCAGGTTGGTTGGAAAGAATTGGGGATTCTTCCTGTTACGGTATTTATTTTTATATTGGTCTTTTAAAATATAAACATACCTTAAGTATTTTCATAGTATAATGAGAATGTCAGATACTTCTTTGGAAATACAAAGTTATGAAAGAAAATATACCATGGAATGATGAGTAATTTTTGATTTGGTGCCATAATGGCTAGAAGACAGACAAGTGAAGATTTCAGGTTTGAAGCTAAATAAGGATTTTGATTTGTGGTAGTGACAGCTATATTTTATATCTAGAAAGACTGTTGTATGTTATCACATGATAAGAGGCAGTGTGTCTGAAGCAGGTAAGTAGAGTTGAAGCATGCGTGCTTTCATTTGGTCAATAAATACAAATTCAGTAATTAAAATTGGTAGATAGAACATGGTCTCCCATTTCAGAACTATTGCTAGTTTATATGATGTTTTTTTATAAATTAGAAAAAGGCATCTCTCTCTGGACATGCACAGCTTCCACGGTTCACAGTTTGGTGAGGTGGCAATTCTTTGCATGAAACAACAAATTCTCTTCCCCTGAGCAGACAGTGCTCCCCTTGTAGGATGCATGGTTTGGTGAGTGGAGTTTGCGCTTGATTTGCATGTGCTTTTGTGCAAATAAAGAGCCTTCCTGACAGTGCCTGAAGCATTTTACTGCTAACTGGAAGTTAGCACTCCTCAGAAGGACGATTGGGCACTCTACCTCGGAAACCCAAGGAGGGGTCACTATGACTCGGATCCGACTCCACAGCAGTGTGTTTGGTTTTTTTTTTGGTTGGTTTGTGCAAATAACAACCTGCTCAACTCTGTACAGTGGCCCTAGTCTAAAGCGGCATAGTCCAATAGAAATGTGTAATTTTGAATTTTGTGGTAGCCACATTGAAAAGTAAAAAAAAAAAAAAGAAATTTTAACAGTGTATTTTATTTAATCCAATATCTAAGAAATGCATAATATCATTTTAATGTGTAATCACTATTTTAAAATTTAATGAAATATTTTACTTTTTTTAATACTAATTCTTCTGGTGTATTTACATTTATCACTGATCTCAATTTGAGCTAATGCTGTTTCAGGTGCTCAGTAGCCACATGTTGCTATGGGCTATCATGTTGAACAAAACAGATCTAAAATAGAAGGGATCAGTGAACTATAATACAAAATAGAATAATAGTAAGTACCATAAAAGACATTTAATGAAAAGCTATGAGAATTCAAAGGAAAAGGCCACTCAAAATGCAGTAATTGGAAAAGTTACCAAGGTTGATTTTTTAGGAGTAGATTGGAGGTCTTTCTTTTGAGGAACTACTGGGTTGACTTGAACCACCAACCTTTTGCCTAGCAACTGAATGTTTTAACCAAATGTTTGCACCACCGAGGAATTCTGTAGACACATATAGCTAACTCGTTTCTTGGTATCTCAAAAAAAAACCCTTAGCCATCTAATCAATTCTAACTCATAACACCCTTATAATAGAGATGAGAACTGTCCCGTAGGGTTTCCAAGGTTGTAATCTTTGTGGAAGCTAACTTCCACATCTTTTTCCCACAGAGTAGCTGGTTGGTTAAAACTACCAACCTTTCAAGTAAAAGCTGAGCACCTAACCACTGTATCACCATGGTTCTAGAAGACACAGAAACACTTTAAATTCACCTATACAAAACAATTCATGATTTTCCCCCACCAGATAAAAAAAGTTTATTTTCCAGTGTTCCTTTCTATCTGTGCAAGCCAAAAAAACTAGCACTTATCCTTGACACTTCCAAAACTTCTATCCTCCCACCCCCATGGAAGTACCCTTCCAATCACAGTTACTGTTGGTTTTATCCCCTAATGACTCTGAAACCCATTCACTTCTCTATATCTCTGTTGTCACCAACCTAGCCAGTACTACCTTCATTTCCTGAAGTACTGGATTACCTTTCTAATTGGTTTATTCATATTCATTGACTCCCTCCTGTCAATTTTCTACAGTGTAGTCATTAGGAGGTCTGGTAGCATCATGCCAAAGGCACTTGACTGCTAACCAGAAGGCTGGCGGTTCAAACCCACCAGCCACTCTTCAGAAGGAAGGTTGGGCAGTCTAGTGATACTGCCTTGGAAACCCAAGGAGGGGTCGCTGTGAGTCGGGTCCAACTGGATGGCACATAACAACAACAGTCATTGTTGTCTTTTCAATATGTAACTCTCATTTTCCTCTGAAAATAGATCAGTGGCTTTTATGACATACTTCATAACTCAGTATGCTTTTTGATAGTAGGGCTGCTACCTATCCAGCTCATCTGTTGTAAGACTTCTTGCTTGCCAGACATTTTCTTATAAGTGAATCTTTACATATGTTTTTCTTGCTGTTTGGAACAAATTCTCTCTACTAATCTAACTTTGGGAGCTCTGGTAGCATAGTGGCTAAGACACTTGCCTGCTAACCAGAAGGCTGGCGGTTCAAACCCACCAGCCACTCATCGGAAGGAAGGTTGGGCAGTCCTACTTCCGTAGTGATACTGCCTCAGAAACCCAAGGAGAGGTCGCTATGAGTCGGGGCCGACTCCACGGCACATAACAACAACAATCTAACTTTGACCTGGTTCCTTTTCATCTTTCAAGTAGCCAAACCAAAAACCAAACATGCTGCAGTGGAGTCAGGTCCGACTTATAGCAACCCCTACTTGGGTTTCCGAGGTGGTATCACTACCGAAGTAGAATGCCCAGTCTTCCTTCTGAGGAGTGGCTGGTGGATTTGAACCACCAGCCTTCTGGTTAGCAGTCAAATGCCTTAGGCATACCTCTAGAGCCCCTCTTTCAAGTAGTAGGTCAGTTTTACTCAGAGACCCCTTTCATATGATTTCATAGCACTATTCCTTCTTAGTACTTGTCTTAGTTGTAATTTTCATTTTTTTGTATTTGTTGCTTTAGTTGATTTTATTTGACTAATAATTGCCCATCTGTCCTTTTCACTTGACTAGAAGTTCAGTGAGAACAGCTGTTACTTCTTTTGCCTACCATTACTTATTGCACACTTAGTATTCCATAGATATCAATTGAATGAATATATGAATCTACTTGCATGATCTGGTTATATTTAAAATTTCTATTAAGTAACTTGTTTAGACATAAATTTCACTGATTTTATAATCTTCCTTTGCTTTTTTAATGAAATTATATTTTTATTGGATTTAATGTCAAAGTAGTTTTTACTCAATGTTTGTGTTTTCTTCATTTCTCCCGCTTTGCAGTGGTTGCACTCACAATGGCAGGAAATGATTATGAAAACTCAACAGATGAAGAGTCTCTGAAGGAACATTCAGAAAGTGCTAGTGAAATAGATGATGAGGAATCTGAAGATGTTGGTAGAGCTTCAGATGATGGTGATGATGAAGTTGAGGAGGATGAAAATGAGGATGGTGAAGATGATGAAAGTGACAGTGGCCCTGATCTTGCTCGGGGTAAAGGCAATATAGAAACTAGTTCTGAAGATGAAGAAGATGAAGATTTACTTCCAGAGCAATCCAGTTTTGAGCATGCTTGGAGAGAATTAGATAAAGATGCCCCTCGGGCTGATGAGGTAATCCTTTATTTGTAAAGAAAATAGTACGAGGAGCTTTTTTTTATGAGTTTTAGCATTGCTGTCATTAAATGAGAAAACATTACTGCAAAATAATACTCTTGACAATTATGGTTAAAACTTCTTGTTTTGGAATATATATGAATGAGAAATTGTCCAGATAAGGAAAAAGTTCAATATAAAGTCACAAGCAATTTTTAGAAAAGACTTGTTTTAGGTAGTAGTTTATATTTCTCTCCCTGCTACACCTATTAGAAATGCTACATGGTAACATACTTAACTTGCCTACTCATGCACGGTTGGCGAAATGGCTTTACAGACATGATAGTTAAAAAAAATCAACTCATGATCGTGTCCTGATTTAAGAATTAAGAATGAAAGTAAGAAAACACTTATCTGTTGATGATTTACTATTGTTTGACTCATTTGACGTTTTCTTACATACTGAAACCACTTCAAAAATCAAACTCACAGTCATCAAGTTGTTTCCGACTTATAGTGACCCCCATTGGGTTTCTGAGGCTATAAATCTTTATGGAAGTAGAGTGCCCTATCTTCCTTCTGCGGAGCAGCTGGTGGGTTTGAACTGCTGACCTTACAATTGGCAGTCAAGTAACTTATCCATTATGCCACCAGAGCTCCTTACTGAAACCACTTAGACAACTATCATGTTAATAATTTTCAGCATGTGAGGGGATAAAGGCATTTCATTTTCAATATCTTTAGTTGTTAAGCACTAGGTACAATATAGATTGTGTATTTTTCTCATTTTGCAGATCACACATCGATTAGCAGTTTGCAACATGGACTGGGATAGATTAAAGGCAAAAGATTTGTTGGCACTGTTCAATTCATTTAAACCTAAAGGAGGTGTTATATTTTCTGTAAAGGTGAGAATTAATTTCATTTTAGTGTAAGTATTTCTAAACATTTTAAGATAAATCTGACTTCTTTTTTTTAAGTCATTAGTTTTACTTTTACAAAAGTGATCTAGAAATTGTCTACTACGAGGTATGAAACAGGTGTAAGTATTGGAAGGGAAGAGGCAAAATTATTATTAATCCAAAAAAAAAAAAATCAATGGAAAATCTATAATACAAGCTCAGTGAGAGGGTGGAGTACAGGATAAATGTTATTTTTTTTAAAAAAAAAATTTGCTCATTATGAGCACTGACCAATTAAGAAAAGATATCCTATTTATATTAGCCACAAAATATGTGAAATCTTTAGGAATTTCCTTAATAAACATGTGTGACCTATAGAAAGCTATTAACTCTTGATAAATTTGAGAAACTTAACATTTTGAGACATACTACACTTAGTTAAGAATCTAGACTCTGGAATATAAGACCTTTTTCGAGTATGATGTGATCACGAACACTTTATAAATTAATCTCTTAAATATGTTTTGTCATTGGACAAGTGAATATAACAGTAGTATTTCCTAGGGTAAGTATAAAGATTAAATGAAAAGATACTCATGGTTAGTATGTAGTACAGGACCTGAAAGAGCTACCAATTACTATTATTCTCTTTAAATATTTGAAAAGGATGTTTCTACAAGTTTTAATATAGTGTTCCAGTTACCTAGTGCTGCTCTGACAGAAATATACCATAAATGGGATGCTTAAACAAATCGAAAAAAAAACAGTTTGGAGGCTTTAAGTCCAAGTTCAAAGTGCCAGTGCCAGACTCTAGGGGCTGTGTGAGCGCCCCTCAACCTTGGGCTTCAGCTCTGCCTCTTGCTCCTGGCCCAATGAAGCTAGAGGCATCTCTTCACTCAGGCAGCTACTGGCTGCTGAGGGTAATAAGCCCAAGGTTGACAAAGTGGTGCAGTCTCAAGGTTACAAACTACATGGCAGGCCATTAATTCAAGTCCATTGAAAGTCCCAAGGTCGGTAGAGCATGCATGGCAGGCTGCTGAACAATGACATGGCTGCATGCAGGGTTCAAGCGTGCCATAAGCTAGAGACCATTCCCAGAGCTGTTTCTTATATAGGGGAAGCAGACCACATAACCAAAGGCAGCTACTCAGCTGCTCACAGCAGATTCCACCATGGAGTTAATTACCAATCTCACCATGGGTGAATACCTACATTCAGCTGCCCAGCCGCTCAACCAGGCCCGCCAAGTTGACACACAAACTTAACTGCCACATGTGGTTTAAATCAAAATTCTAATTCACGCGATGGTTGAGAAGTTGTTGTTGTTATGTGCCGTCGAGTCGGACCCGACCCATAGCGACCCCTCCTTGGGTTTCTAAGGCAGTATCACTACGGAAGTAGATTGCCCCATCTTCCTTCCGAGAAGTGGCTGGTGTGTTTGAACCGCCAGCCTTCTGGTTAGCAGTCTAGTATCTTAGGCACTATGCTACCAGAGCTCCTAGTTGAGAAGTAGGATATCAGTAATCATCTAAAAAAATAAAAAGTGAGACTAGCTAATGAAGTTTGAAAAGTCATACCATAGAGACTTTCCCTACTATTTACAGTATCTAAACATTTTATGAAGTGTTAACAGATGTTAGTGAAAATAGGAAGGTACATTTATGAAACAAAAAACAATTTCTATGGTAATTTACATCAAAATAAACTTCTTGATCCATGGTGTTGAGACAAGTGGACAAATCTTTGGATAGACAACTTAGTTGAGATCTGCACCTCATAATGTTGTTGATAGTTGCCATTGAGTTGATTCTGATTCATGGAGACCGTACATGTTCAGAGTAGAACTACTTCATAAGGTTTTCAAGGCTATGACCTTTCTGAAGCAGATCACCAGGTATATGTCACAGGTGCTTCCAGGTGGGTTCAAACCACTTACCTTTCAGCTAGTAGTTGTACCTCATAATAACCCATCATAAACCTCAGGTGAAACAAACAAACAAAAATTTCAAACCACAAAATAGTTAAAACAATATTGAAAAAGAAGAAGAAAATAGGAAGGAAGACTCCAGCTTTCAAAATGTGTTACAATCATTCCTCATTTAACGTCCATAGTATGTTTTGTGAAATAGGGTATTTTGTGATTTGGATGTTGTATGAATGCCATATTGTAATCTGGTCCTGTTTTTTCTCTAAGCGTCTCGACCAAGCTTCATCCCTCAGTGTGATCATCAGTGTGCTTAAAGGGATTTGCTTTTACATTTGGTCCTCAATCCACGTCATTAGCAGTATCTCTGTATCTGATACAAGTCCCTCTCACATTTTTATTAGCCTTGTATCTTTCAGTGGAGCCAATTCTTTAACAGTTTGGAGAATTTTAACTCTGTTTTTGGGGATTGTAGAGTGCAACATGCCTAAATTGCAAGTGATAGCATTCACTGATTTCCCACCTTAGTGTTGTTTAGTAACCTTTTATTTTACTTCCAAATCGATACTTCTCCTTTGTCTCTTGCTTCTAATACTAGGGCTGGTTTTGGGGGCCATGATCTACTTCCCAGTAAAATTTTTGAAGAAAATTAAGCAAGAGATAATGCTACAATGCTCAAGAGGCACAGGGTACACGAGATTGGATACTGCTGCCTATGAATTGAAGCATACATTGTTATAGTATGCTTTTTAGGCAGAAATTACAGGACAGTACATGCATAAACTGGTAGCATAGGCATTTATTATGATTGTCAAACACAACACACTGCTGTCAAGTCAGATCTGACTCATAGAGACCCCTCCTTGGGTTTCTGAGGCAGTATCACTATGGAAGTAGGTTGCCCAAGCTTCTTTCCAAGGATTATGACTATGAAGACAGATTATTAATAGGTTTTATGTGTCCTGTGCCATGTGCCTGGCAGCACAATCACTTTCTATACTGGAGACATGAGATATATGTGTTGCATGCAAGAAGCTGTCACATTTGCTATACCCTTTTCTACGATCATGATGTCTGGACTCTGTTATAACCTTACGAGACTGTGGACATATATGCAGTTGGATGTTGCCCAAAAGGACATTATGCAGCGCTTGATTGTATAAAGCTACTGTGATGCTCTAGTATATATCCTAGTAATGGGATGGCTGGATCGAGTGGTACATCTGTTTCCAACTTTGTAAGGAATCGCCATACCAGTTTCCACAGTGGTTGTATTATTTTACAGTTCAGCTGGCAGTGTATGACAATCTCAAGCTCTCCATTTGTTAGTTTCTGTCTTGTTGAACTTTGCTTTTAGTGCTGGGGTGAGATGTATCTCATTGTTTTGATTTGCATCTAAGGCATTTGACTCCTAACCAGAAGGCTGGCTGTTCAAACCCACTAGCCATTCCTCGGAAGAGAGATTGGGCAATCTACTTCTATAGTGATATTGCCTCAGAAACCCAACAAGAGGTTGCTATGAGTCGGATCCCACTCAACAGTCGTGAGTTTGGTTTGTGAGGTAATGGCTAATGATCGCAAACATTTCTTCATGTGTTTGTTGGCCACCTGAATATCTACTTTGGTAAAGTGTATGTTCATGTCTTCTGACCATTTTTTAATTGGATTGCTAATCTTTTTGATGTTGAGGTGTTTGAGTTTTCTATAAATTTTAGAGATAAGTCCCTTATCAGATATATCGAGATAAGTCCTTTATCAGATACATCGGTGCCAGATATATTTTCCGAATCTGTAGGTTCTCTTTTTACTCTTTAGGAGAAATCTTTTGATGTGCGTAATAATTTAATTTTTAGAAAGTCCCAGTTATATCTAGTTTATCTTCTACTGTTCGTGCATTTTTGGTTATGTTTGAAAGTCTATATATGTCATAAGTAAAGGCCCCTGAATTTGCCCCTCATTAACAACCTGCAATATGCAAATGACACAACTTTGCTTGCTGAAAGTGAGGACGACTTGAAGCATTTACTGCTGAATATTAAAGACTACAGTCTGCACTACGGATTACACCTCAATATAAAGAAAACAAAAATCCTCACAACCAAGTCAGTGAACAGGTTCACAATGAACAGGTTCACAATCAGAAAAGATTGAAGTTGTCAAGGACTTCATATTACTTGATTCTACAATCAACACCAATGGAAGCAGCAGTCCAGACCTCAGATGACATATTGCATTGGGAAAATCTGCTGCAAAAGACCTCTTTCAAAGCTGAAGAACAAAAATACCTCCTTGAAGACTAAGGTGTACCTAAGTCAAGCCATGGTATTCTCAGTTGCCTAGTATGCATGTGAGAGCTGGACAATGAATAAGGAAGAACGGAGAAGAGTTAAAACTTTTGAGTTGTGGTGTTGGAGAAGAATGCTAAGAATACCGTGGTCTTCTAGAAGGACTAGCAGATCTCTCCTGGAAGAAGTGCAGCTGGAATGTTCCTTGGAAGCAAGAATGGCCAGATTTCATCTCACCTACTTTAGTCGTGTTGTCAGAAGGAACCATTCCCTGGAGAAGGATATCATGCTTGGTAAGGTGGAGGGTCAACGAAGAAGGGGAAGGCCCTCAATGAGATGGATTGACACGGTGGCTGCAACGATGGGCTCACATATAGCAAGGATCATGAGACTGGCGCAAGACCGGGCAGTGTTTCGTTCTGCTGTGCATAGGTTCTTTATGAGTTGGGGAAGACTCAGCGGCACCTAACAACAAGAACAGGTTTGCTCCTAGTTTTTCTTTGATGAGCTTTATAGTTTGTTGTTGTTATGTGCCATCGAGTTGGACCCAACTCATAGTGACCCCTCCTTGGGCTTCCGAGGCAGTATCACTACAGAAGTAGATTGCCCAACCTTCCTTCTGAGGAGTGGCTGGTGGTTTGAACCACCAGGCTTCTAGTTAGCAGTCAAGTGCCTTAGGCACTATGCTACCAGAACTCCCTTAGTTTTAGGTTTCAGATTTAAGTCTTTGATCCATCTGGAGTTAGTTTTTATGTATGGTGTGAGGTATGGATCTTGTCTGATTTTTCTGCAAATGG